TCATGTTCAATGAATACACAAAACTCGATAAACTTGTTGAAATTCTGGACACTACCGATGTCACTGTGGCCTCAGCTGCTTACGATGTAGGGATAAACTTTACTGCATACCTTGGATTTGGATATTTTAACAAAAACAAGGCAATCCGTAAACTAGGAATTTACCATACTGCTTGCACACTTGTCAACCAAACAATTCCAAACCATCCAAGTTGTGTCAGATGCGATCTTACTCAAAATGTATTTCTGGCACGAACCAAAGAGATATTGGATATAGGAGGATGGGACCCAGAGCTAATGATAGTGGAACACAAGGATATATTTATTAGACTGAAAGCAGCTGGCATGGAAGTTGCACTTTGCCCGGATGTGAAAGTAAAGCACGCTCGTCCGTCAAAGATAGCAGTTAAAGGCGAGGACTACTCAGAAAAAAGGAGACGAGCAACAGGAAGGTTTGATAAGTATGATTTAAAAAATTATTTTAAAAATACGATTCAAAAGATTTTAATTTATAAAAAAAGTCCCATAATGTGACCAACAATGAGTTCGAAGTTCGAGACTTGTGATTCGAAGTTTAAACTACAGAAAGACTTCATGACACTACCACTAAATAAACAAGAAATGCGGCAGCTTTTCTTTTGTGGATGACCGCTCAATTTCCCGATCCGTGATGGCGTCTATTATCATATTCCATACAATCTGGGGACCCCGTCTTAACTGTTTATAAGCATGCAGATATGGCGGAGTGACAGGCCGAGCGCCGCCCAGTAAATTTCATATTGAATTTGAAAATCGTGTATATTTCTATGTAACCATATGTTTATTGTTTATGCAACCTGACACAGATCTGTGCAAAATAGTAATATTAACTCGAAATAATAATTATAATATGCTATCAATTAGTGCCTAGTGGGATAGGTACATGGTGAAATTAAAAATTCACTAGGTAAATTAAGCACCATGCGCCAACAATTATTTATTTCAGAATAACGGCGCAAAATTACTTAAATAATAAAAGTAGCGTTGAAACAGAGGTATTAACTGTACTTAATCCAGGTTTAGAGCTCTAATAAACAACAGATGGAACATTCATAGACTATTCGAGAGACCGGCAAGAACTCACTTGGTGATGAACCACGATACAGGAGAGATAACATACAAGGAGGAGAAGGAACGTGGATGCTAATTATTGTCAAACAAAAATTGCATTTTCGAGACCTGACTTTTAGACGTCCGGCTGATATCTTTGCCATTAAAAAGGTCGCCAACTCTTTCAGAATAGAAAATCTTTCAGGATAGAATGGTTTCAACTAAAATTCCTAACCTCTCCAGAATAGAGCAGGGATTACCTGCTGATAATTGTTGCTCTAGGGTCAAATAAGAGCTGTTCTCTGTTTGGGATACCTAAAGGGTCAATTTTAAATTTTTGGCCTATTTCAATATTTCCCTTTTTAATTATCGTGTTCTTTCTTATATGAATATCATTGTATAATATAAATCAGTCTTGTCGTTTGTTTGCAGTTTAAGTTTCTTTAAGTAGTGAATCAGACCAGTGATCGACCGGGATCCCGGCCCCGGCCCCGGATACGGCCGGGATTTGTGTTTTTTCCCCGGCCCCGGCAAAATAATTTTCAAAATCCTGGCCCCGGCCCCCAATCCCAGCCCCGGCTGTTTTTGTCAATTTTTGCCGGGATTTCTCGTATTTTCTGCCTCAATTCAAACCGATAGATTATCAGAATTTATCTTGATTTTTAGACTTAAATTAAACACAAAATGTTCGGTAACATGAGATCGAGTGAAAAATATAAATACGAGGACTTGACATCATTCCAGTTTGATATTCAGAAAATTTCAACTTTGAATTTACAAAGAATGTAAAATATTAATGTTAATTAAAAAAGTTCGAGGTTGATTGAAAAGTTCGAGTTAAGTCATGTGTTCGTGTACCGTCTTTCATATAACTAGTACAAACGTCAAACAATTCAGTTCAGGAGCAAAAAACAGTAGAGGGTGAGGCCGACTCAATGCAGATGATGATGATAGTCATCAGATCACAGATGACTACTCGTTTCCGGTGCCAGCTTCAGTGTCCTAAATATCTATGTCCGATGTTTCGTCTTCGCTCTGTCTCGATTCTGTCATAACAGTTTCCGGAAACTTTCAAAAAATTTCAAAATTAGATTAAAAAAATCCCGGCCCCGGCCCCGGCATATTTTAGCCAATCCCGGCCCCGGCCTTGGCAACATTTCAAAATCCCGGTTAATCCTGGCCCCGGCTGATTCAACTTGGTCCCGGCCCCGGCTAAATTTCGTCCCCGGTCGATCCCTGAATCAGACCCAATGTTTGTATAAGTTTAAGTTTCATTAAGTTGGCTATTTTTACGCTATGAATTTCAACTTAATTAAATGTTCGTATTTTTATCCGATTTGTTTGTATTGTTGCTGCTGTACGATATATACATTATAAATTATATTTATTCCATACAATTACATAATAGTATTTTCTATGATTAACCTGATGAGATACATCAGCAAATTGCAGAGTATCCCTTATTACAGAGATGAAGATCTCGCTATAACTCGAGGAATTAATTTGGCTGTTAAGCAGGTCAAGACTAAGTACTTCTTTCATCTCGACGAGAATACACAAACTCGATAAACTTGTCAAAACCCTGCACTGGATACTACTGATGTCACTGTGGCTTCAGCTGCTTATTTGAGGGAATAGCTTAACTGGATACTTTAAATTTCAATTTGTAAATTTCAAAGTTTGTACTTCAACAACATAGTAGAATGTTAATTGTTGTAACGGTCTAGTTTGTACTCATATGTGAATATGTGAACCGTTAATCAGAGTGTAATTTTAACTCCCACCAAATTACTTTCTAAGCAGACCTCGAGAAAATAACCAGATCTGTTCTAAGACATAAGTCGTGTCTCCATTATTTCACTTGAAAACTTAAAAGCTATCCTCCAATCAGATAAAACCACCCAATCTCGAACTCCAGTAAGAATATAGAACCTACAACTATTCTTCTTTCAAGATCTACCTCATCAGCTGGTTCAATAATACACATTACACATATGCAAGCTTTTTAGTTAACAAAAGCGAGGCATGTACTCATAGAGATACTAGTCTTAGTCATATTACCTAAGTTTGTCTTGCTAGAACTTCATTCGTAATAAATTAATAATTCTACATTTTACAGCGTACTTACTGTATTAATTAATCAGCTGATCAGCATTGATTATTAGTGTTAATATTGTCAATAATGATTTGTCCTTTCTATTCGCTTGTTTGCCTTAGCAAATTTTCCGATCAATTAAGTGTTCACAAGATCAATTATATATAATATCATATTTAATTATCACAATATGATAAATCAAACGTCACTGATAAAGACTGGAGCTACCGCACTTTGTAGTTGGAACTTACACCAAGATGAAAAATAGTTTCAATAATCTGATATAAATGAGCTTATACTCTAGTTTACCATACCTAACGACCATGTCCCATTATTCCCCGGCCATGCAGTTAGTTCAAACACATCTAGAAGTATCTTACATTTTTATATCAAAAGTTAGCAAAATTTGGCCAGTGCACACATGGCCAAAATCAGTTAGACTAATAAATCCATCATAAGGCATTTTCGGCATAGATTGTTGCATAATTTCTATATGATTGTGGCCATTGCGGTCAATTTGAGCCTTCACAAAAGTTTGTGCAATGTTCAGGAGCTGAAATTACTGTGTATATACGAATATAAGACAAGTGGGCGGGGCCAAAAGAGCAACTTCGCCAGTCTGAAGTTTTGGGCTCGGATAGTCGGATTTGTTTGTTTCTAAAAACCTTGGAAAGGACCCCAAAAAATGTCAAGCCTTCTACTATGAAATGCAGGTCGATGTGCATAAATGAAAAGATTATAAGTGGTTAATAATTGACGTTGAGGGTCATCAAATGGCCAAGAAACTATTAACTTTATGTGGTTGCATGTTATCTTATATCAAGTTCTATTTTTAAGTGGCAAAAGATATTGGTGTCATTTACAGATCCTAATTTTTAGAAACGGTCCCCCTCCCTAATTTTATATTTTTCTTTCAAAATTATCTTAATATATCAAATCCTATTTTTAGGTGGCAAAAGATATGAGTCTCGTTCGCAAAATAAAGTCAACATTAACTCGATGGCAGCATCTAATCAAATTAGTCCTCGTGGTTTTGATGATCATTTTTATCTTTTACAATTTGAGGAGTGGGATAGTATACGATCTTGCATTCCTAGGAAATTCGACTAAAGAAAACAAGCTAATGGTTTCTTTTCCAGTAGAAACAAGGGAAAACTCCAAAAATATCAGTATTCATACCAATATTAGTGGTTACATATTCCACAACCATCGATTAAGATTATGGTATGAAGGTAGATGTATAGACTCTAGTGACGGAGAAAAGTTGACAGTACAGTTTTGTGATCCTAATTTACAGCAGGTGAGACTTAGTGTCAACTTATGTTTCTTCCACAAAATGCAGAAGATAATACTAATTGACTATTTTTGGGACCTAATCAAAAACATTGAAAGTTGAACTACTAACCATATTGCCACCATAACTAAAATAAAAATGAATGAAGGTCAATTTTTGTCATCGTTAATAAATATACTCTCAGGCGTTCAGTCTAACGATGGATAATCGTCTGATATACGAGAGAACTGGAAGATGTGTAAACTACAAAAGCCATGATAATGCCAAATTTCTGGAACTTATAGATTGCTCTGATGTCACAGAATCGTTCTTTACAGAAGACAAAGATGAAATGCTTTACATACAGCGTATCGTGAAGAATGAAGAGCTGTGCATCACACCAATGTCAGAGAGGAACGATTTGAACGTTACAACAAGTCCTTGTCTGGAGGATCCTGTTGGATTAACACTTTGTAATAAGCATGCTTCCAGAATGCTACTGATGAAGGAAGATGTTTTTCAAGAAGACAGAAAATTGTTAAAGATGGCCGTTGTACCTCCAAATAGTTCATGTGACTTTAAAGCGTGTGGGTTCAACAAAAGAGAGCCGGTGAAACTCCTGCCACCTGACCAGGTGGGAAGATGTACAAATCTGTGGGAATGTGTGACACTTGCAGTAAAAACAACCAGAAGACCACATCTTATATTGCGTCTAGCTCGATCAGTGAGAGACAGTCTGGGGTTCGATCTCCCGATAGTTGCATACGACGACGGACCAAACGATTACCCGGATGAAATATATCAGCAAATTGCAGAGTATCCCTTATTACAGTACGAAGTGAGTAAAAATGAAGATCTCGGTATAGCTCGAGGGAGAAATTTGGCTGTTATGCAGGTCAAGACTAAGTACTTCTTCCTTCTTGATGATGACATCAAGTTCAATGAATACACAAAACTCGATAAACTTGTTGAAATCCTGGACACTACCGACGTCACTGTGGCCTCAGCTGCTTACAAGGTAATCGTTTTTACTTCATACCTTGAATTTGGACATTTCAACGAGAACAAGGCAAACCGTAGACTGGGAGTTTACCATGAAGCTTGCACAATTATCAACCAAACAATTCCAAACCATCCAAGTTGTGTCAGATGCGATATTACTTCAAACGTATTTCTGGCACGAACCAAAGAGATATTGGATATAGGAGGATGGGACCCAGAGCTAATGATATTGGAACACAAGGATATATTTATTAGACTGAAAGCAGCTGGCATGAAAGTTGCACTTTGCCCGGATGTGAAAGTAGACCACGCTCGTCCGTCAAAGATAGCAGTTAAAGGCGAGGACTACTCAGAAAAAAGGAGACGAGCAGCAGGAAGGTTTGATAAGTATGATTTAAAAAATATGATTTAAAAAATCATTTAAAAAATATGATTCAAAAGATTTTAAAATATAAAAAAAGTCCCATAATGTGACCAACAATGAGTCAATGACTTGTGATTTGAAGTTTAAATTACAGAAAGACTTCATGACACTACCACTAAATAAACAAGAAATGCGGCAGCTTTTCTTTTGTGGATGACCGCTCAATTTCCCGATCCGTGATGGCGTGTATTATCATATTCCATACAATCTGGGGACCCCAGTCTTTACTGTTTATAAGCATGCAGATATGGCGGAGTGACAGGCCGAGCGCCGCCCAGTAAATTCCATATTGAATTTGAAAATCGTGTATATTTCTATGTAACCATATATGTTTATTGTTTATGCAACCTGACACAGATCTGTGCAAAATAGTAATATTAACTCGAAATAATAATTATAATATGCTATCAATTAGTGCCTAGTGGGATACATGGTGAAATTAACAATTCACTAGGTCAATTCAGCACCATGCGCAAACAATTATTTATTTCAGAATATCGCGCAAAATTACTTAAATAATAAAAGTAGCAATGAAATAGCGGTATTAACTGTACTTAATCCAGGTTTAGAGCTCTAATAAACAACAGATGGAACATTCAGAACATATTCGATAGATCAGCAAGAAATCGCTTGGTGATGAACCACGATACAGGAGAGATAACATACAAGGAGGAGAAGGAACATGAATCATGTTAAAGAGATCATGAAGTGTAAATTTGCGAATTCTTCAAAAATACTCGAAACTTGGGTAGTGAGCTAGGCTTGGTAATTCTGCCGCAATCCCAAAATAGCTCCGTCGTAATTGCTTCACAAGCTGAGATAATATGGGGCATATCAATTACATTTTTCCAAGTTGCGGCTAGGTGACAGGATAGCATATACGACATGTGTAAAAACACCTGATTTTAATCGTCCATAACAAGTTTTCTGTTGGTTATTTTTTTGAACCGACAAGATTACCATCAGGTATAAACCATTATATTTCACATATCTTCCTAAATTTGGTGTACAGCGATTAATCTAGTTCCTACAAGCAATTAAAGGCAGCTCACTTCATTGAACTTGAATGTAGCACGAAATCCTGGAATAATAGCTTAATTTTAATGCCATAATGTGCGGCTGTGTTTCAGCTATCTTCATGCACATTTTGCTGATATGCCAACGAAATTAAATTGCTCAAAAATTCAAAAAACATGGTTTTTTGGCATATTTTTGGCCCAAAAATCGGTTTTTTGCGATTTTACCTGGGGAAACTCAGACTTATCATTTCAAAACCACGTTTAATCGATTCTACGGTCAAAAGTACGTCTAGAAAGATGTATGTGGAGTCCCTAGCGTATCGAGCAGAAAATGCCCGTAAGAGCTTTTACTAGTAAATTTATAAGACAATTATTTGACGCTTGTGTATATTATGCACATTATACAACCACAATTTTCGAAAGATAAAAGTCAAATCTATCAAGTGTCGTTAATTTGAAGATTTTATCAATTAAATTGGCGCCACAGCACATGAATCAAAATGTGCATTTTAACACTGTTTCTATTGCGGTGTCTGACAGTTAGCCGCAATCCAACAAAATAGGGCGATCTTCCAGTATCGATTTCACGCGACATAATTAAGTTACGAATCTGGGAATTCCGAGCCCTATTCTTATATTAGTGTTTCTATGTGATAGTATATGTGAAATGTTTTGACGATTAAGTCGGGGACACTTCATGATCCCTTTAATGTATTTATAATCATCAATTAGTTACCACTTGCACTTTAAACATTGTCAAACAGAAATTGTATCCCCAGGAAACCTTACTGGCTGGGGCTTAACTTCAAAAGTAAGAGAGCTAGAGACTTCCGGCTTTTTGCAAAATGTTCGCCTTATAAAAATAACGTTTCCTTCCCAGAAGGAAAATTAGGGACAACATAGATTTTGACTTATCTCAAAATCTCCAGAAAAGTCTCATTTTGGGCCGATCACAAGTTTGCAAGTTTAACTTAGCGGATTCCTGTCGTCTGATTGGCTGAATTGTGTCCCGTGCTGGCTGCTTAAAGATTGGAATGTGCCACGTGTGCAAATCACTTAATGTCGCACGCAAGGTCAAGCCATCTGTTTAAATTAGACAACCTGTAGTAACACGGCCAGCCAGTAATATTTAACGTTTCCTGGGTCTTCGAGACCTGCCTTTAGAAGTCCGGCTGATAACTTTGGCATTATAAGGGTTGCCAACTCTTTCAGAATAGAACATCTTTCAGGATAGCATGGTTTCAACTAAAATTCCTAACCTCTCCAGAATAGAGCAGGGATTACCTGCTGATAGTTGTTGCTCTAGGGTAAAATAAGAGCTGTTCCCTGTTTGGGATACGGATACCTAAAGGGTCAATTTTAAATTTTTAGCCTATTTAAATATTTCCCTTTTCAATCATCGTGTTCTTTCTTATATGAATATCATTGTATCATATAAAATATAAATCAGTCTTGTCGTTTGCAGTTTAAGTTTCATTAAGTTGGCTATTTCTACGCTATGAATTTCAACTTAATTAAATGTTCCTATTTTTATCCGATTTGTTTGAATTGTTACTGCTGTACGATATCCATTATAAATTATATTTATTCAGCAATAGCAGCAAATCTGGGGAAACTTGGTGGACATTGACTTTTTTCACACAATTTGAGTATGTTGACTTCAACATTATGTTGCAGCTCATTGTGGTTAATCTCAATGTTGGAGTGATGTTTTTCTGGTGCACAAAACACTGCAGTACGGTTATGTTGAATAATTGTGGTTAATGGGTCATATATGTGGCCACTATGGTGGTTAAAATACCAGATTTAGGGTTAACCACCATTTTGAGATATGATATTATGAACTGAGTAGTCATTATATTGAGATCATATCATGGTGCAACTATCACAAAAGTTTTCAAACCTCATGGGGGGCATATTGTGGTCCTAATGGTGGTTAAATTGAAGATGAACGGTGAGCTATAAATATTGCTCTGATTATAGATGTATAGTTGGTGGTTGTTCATTTGTGCATGGATGATAATTTTTTATCACAAATGTGCAATTTAATAGTATGGTTGATTTGAGGTGGTTAATATTCGTAAAAAGTGCTAAAAAGATGGTTAAAATGTCAAAATTTGTTGTTAACCACAAATCAAAACATTATTAATGATTTTAGTCAACATTTTATAGTCAACAAAGGACATTTGAAGGGTCTTGATAAAAGTTATCAAGAAATGTTGTCATAAAAGTGGTTAAAAGGGCTATATTACTTGCTAGGCTGTTGAACAAGGCATCTATTAAAGTGAAAATTAACCACAATATGAACTTCAGATAATGGTTTGGTATCCAAATGAGTGTATATTTGTTTACAAATGCATAATTGACCCCAAGTTCATGCATTCCGATCAATGTGCAGCTAAGGTGGTTAAAATGTCTCGAAAATACCCTATATTTGCACCAATTAACCATTTTTAGAGCACATATTAGCTTTGTAAAGCTATAGCTGGCCATGCTACATTATCTAGATATAACTACCTGCTCATTTATATGACCAGAAACATTGCTGAGTCCTATGTTGCGTCCATCATGGTTAATAAAGGTCTAAAATTGACCAAAATCAGTGTTTTTGGTCGTTTTAACCGCCATACGGCCACACATTTGTTGCATTATCTTTAAAATCACTTATTATCCTTCAGCTATCTCTCATAATCAAATATCAAAACAAAATAAGGCACCAAAAGGTCAGATTGTGCTGAATAATGGTTAATTTGTGATGGTTTCTGTTGACCGAAGGTCCAAAATCAACATGTTTTAACCACATTATGGCCACATCTAAGGTTTTATGGTATTGGGACTATAGCCAAAAGTTTTGGGCACCTGGATGGTGTACTCTGCTTTTGGAATTATGGTGATATCTCAATGCTGTGCCATTCCAGGTGGTTAAGTACGCGCGCGCGCGCACGCGTACACTTTTGGGGTTTTTTTGATATACCACAGTTGGTGGTTAACCGTTTTACATTACACCTTCACTAAAAGTATTGGGCACTCTAGTGGTGACATAATATATAAAGAAATTAAGCATAAACTAAATATGTTGGCCTACAGATGGTTAAGTACGCGCGCGCGCGCACGCGTACACTGTAACATAAACACATATAAACCACTCCACAGACCACATTTATTAACCTTTTTAATTTCTTTCTTCAACTATGTGTCAATGAACCGTTTCTGTTCAATAATGACCATCAATTTTAACTGTAACACTCATATCTTCAGTTTAGTAAGGGTTTGAGTGTTAGAAGTACAAAAAAATGTCCACTAACAAATCAGTCATATTTCGACTACTTAACCACCTAACTCAGCACCAAAATGTTCTGGGATTTATTTCGTTGCACTATCATGAAGCTATGACATTTTTGGACCTATGTAAATATTCAGATTACTAGAATTCATAATTTGTGATTTTTAAGGGGTGGTCAAATGCTTCAAAGTGGTGTATTTCAAAGTTTCCCCAGATTTGCTGCTATTGCTGTATTCCATATAATTACATAGTAGTATTTTCTATGATTAATCTTATGAGATACATCAGCGAATTGCAGAGTATCCCTTATTACAGTACGTAGTGAGTAAAAATGAAGATCTCGCTATAACTCGAGGAAGGAATTTGGCTGTTATGCAGGTCAAGACTAAGTACTTCTTCCGGCAGTATCGAGATAGCCCGACCACTGGTCCGCGGACCAGTGGTCTGCGGACCACTGTCCGCGGACCACTGTATAATAACAGTATCCCCTGAATCAAGCAGGGTTCACATCATCCCCTGAATCAAGCAGGGTTCACATCATCTTCTGCGTTTTCTGCAACAAGAGGCATGCTGGTATATCATGCGCTGCTCATGACCCTGTAGCATCTTCTGATGCCGGAGGTCTTGCTAACTCCTCTGCTCATGCTCCTCGTGTCCGCTCCAAATGTAACAAATTGCATCCAAGATACCATACATACCATTCATATGATCTGGTAACCAATCAACTATTCACAAACACCTGTTGCTTGATTCAGGGGATACTGTTATTATACAGTAATATGATCTGGTAGACAGTGGTCCGCAGACAGTGGTCCGCAGACAGTGGTCCGTAGACAGTGGTCCGCAGACAGTGGTCCGCGGACAGTGGTCCGCGGACCAGTGGTCGGGCTATCTCGATACTGCCCTTCTTCCTTCTTGATGATCATAATATCATGTTCAATGAATACACAAAACTCGATAAACTTGTTGAAATCCTAGACACAACTGATGTCACTGTGGCTTCAGCTGCTTATATTCATACATATATATGGGGGAATAGCTTAACTGGACACTTTCAATTTCAATTTGGAAACTTTCAAAGTTTGTGTTCCAAATACATAGTAGAACTAGAGAAAATTGATAGTGCGTGGTGAAACTGTTGCGAAATTCGTGTTTGCCATTGGAACCCCCCAATCTTCATTGTTGTAGCGGTTTATTTTGTACTCATGGGAATATGTGATGATATGTATGATGATACACATAACTATAAGCAAGCTTTTTCGTTAACAAAAGCGAGGCATGTACTCATATAGATTGTAATCTTATTGTTATTGTCTAAGTTTGTCTTAGCTGCACTAGTAATGAATTAATAATTCTACATTTTACAGCGTACTTACTGACTTAATTTATCAGCTGATTGATCGGCATTAATTATTAGTGTTAATGTTGTTAATAATGATTATTCCTTTCTATTCGCTTGTTTGCTTTATCAAAATTTCAGATCAATTAAGTTTTCTTATGATCAATTATATATAATATCATATTATCACAATATGATAAATCAAACGTCACTGAATAAGACTGGAGTCACCGCACTTTGTGGTTGGAAAATGGAACTTACACCAAGATGACAAATAGTTTCAATGATCTGATATAAATGAGCTTATACTCTAGTTTACCTGTTACCATACCTAACGACCATATCCCATTACTCCCCGGCCATGCGGTTAGTTTAAAAACATCTAGAAGTCTTTTACATTTTTATATCATTATCAAAAGTTAGTAAAATTGGGCCAGTGCACCGGTGCAGGCATGGCCAAAATCAGTTTGGCCAATAAATCCATCATAAGGCATTTTTGGCATAGATTGTTGCATAAGTTGTATATGATTGTGGCCATTGCGGTCAATTTAAGCCTTCTCAAAAGTTTCTGCAATGTTCAGAAGCTAAAATTACTATATATGAATATAACATGTAAATGGGCGGGGCCAAAAGGGAGATTTTTCCAATCTGAAGTTTTGGGTTCGGATTTTGTTGTTTATAAACAGTAAACACCTTGAGGGTCTCAAAAAATGCCAAGCCTTCTACTATGAAATGCAGGTCGATGTGCATAAATGAGGACATTATAAGTGGTTAATCATTGACTCTGGTCTCTGAGGGTCATCAAATGGCCAAGAAAATATCAACTTTATTTGGTTGCGTGTTATCTTAAATCAGATTCTATTTTTAGGTGGCAAAAGATATGGGTCTCGTTCGCAAAATCAAGTCAACATTAACTCGATGGCTGCAGCTAATCAAATTAGTCCTCGTGGTTTTGATGATCAATTTTTTCTTTTACAATTTGAGGAGTGGGATAGTATACGATCCTGCATTCCTAGAAAATTCAACTAAAGAAAACGAGCTAATGGTTTCTTTTCCAGTAAAACTAAGGGCAAACTCCAAAAATATCAGTATTCATACCAATATTGGTGGTTACATATTCCACAACCACCGATTAAGATTATGGTATGAAGGTAGATGTATAGACTCTAGTGACGGAGAAAAGTTGACAGTACAGTTCTGTGATCCTGATTTGCAGCAGGTGAGACTTAGTGACAACTTATGTTTCTTCCACTGCAGAAGATAATACTAATTGAGTATTTTTGGGAATTAATCAAAAACATTTAAAGTTGAATTACTAACCATATTACCACCATAACTAAAATAAATATGAATGAAGGTAAATGTTTGTCATCATTAATAAATATACCCTCAGGCGTTCAGTCTAACGATGGATAATCGTCTGATATACGAGAGAACTGGAAGATGTGTCAACTACAAAAGCCATGACACTGCCAAATTTCTGGAACTGGTAGATTGCTCTGATGTCACAGAAAGGTTCTTTACAGAAAACACAGATGGAATGTTTTACATACAGCGTATCGTGAAAAATGAAGAGTTGTGCATCACACCAATGTCAGAGAGGAACGATATGAACGTTACAACAAGTCCTTGTCTGGAGGATCCTGTTGGATTAACACGTTGTGATAAGCATGCTTCCAGAATGCTACTGATGGAGGAGGGTTTTTTTCAAGAAGACAGACAATTGTTAAAGATGGCTGTTGTACCTCCAAATAGTTCATGTGACTTTAAAGCGTGTGGGTTCAACAAAAGAGAGCCGGTGAAACTCCTGCCACCTGGCCAGGTGGGAAGATGTACAAAGCTGTGGGAATGTGTGACACTTGCAGTAAAAACAACCCGAAGACCACATCTTATATTGCGTCTAGCTGAATCAGTGAGAGAAAGTCTGGGATTCGATCTTCCGATAGTTGCATACGACGACGGACCAAACGATTACCCTGATGAAATAAATCAGCAAATTGCAGAGTATCCCTTATTACAGTACGTAGTGAGTAAAAATGAAGATCTCGGTATAGCTCGAGGGAGGAATCTGGCTGTTATGCAGGTCAAGACTAAGTACTTCTTCCTTAATGATGATGATATCATGTTCAATGAATACACAAAACTCGATAAACTTGTTGAAATTCTGGACACTACCGATGTCACTGTGGCCTCAGCTGCTTACGATGTAGGGATTAACTTTACTGCATACCTTGGATTTGGATATTTTAACAAAAACAAGGCAATCCGTAAACTAGGAATTTACCATTCTGCTTGCACACTTGTCAACCAAACAATTCCAAACCATCCAAGTTGTGTCAGATGCGATATTACTTCGAACGCATTTCTGGCACGAACCAAAGAGATATTGGATATAGGAGGATGGGATCCAGAGCTAATGATAGCGGAACACAAGGATATATTTATTAGACTGAAGGCAGCTGGCATGAAAGTTGCACTTTGCCCGGATGTGAAAGTAAAGCACGCTCGTCCGTCAAGTAAAGCTAAAGGCGTGGACTACAAAGAAAAAAGGCATAGAGGAGGAGGAAGGTTCGATAAGTATGATTTAAAAAATATGATTCAAAAAATAAAGAAGTCCCTAAATGTGACCAACAATGAATTATAACTTAATGTTTAAATTGTAACAGAAAATTTTATTTAGGAAAATTTGTTAAAAGGTAAGATGACAGTTTTTCATGAGTACTTGATAATAAAAGTAGCATTGAAACAGAGGTATTAACTGTACTAAATTCAGGTTTAAAGCTCTAATGAACAACAGATGGAACATTCAGAACCTATTCGATAGAACGGCAAGCCATAACTTGGTGATTAACAACGATACAAGAGAGATAACATACATACAGGAGAGGGATCGTGAATCATGTTAATGGTTTTATAATCATCAGACAGTTACCACTTTAAACATTGTCAAACAGAATTTGTATCTTCGAGACTTTAGTAGTCCGGCTGATAACTTTGGCATTAAAAAAGGTCGCCAACTCTTTTGGAATATAAACTCTTTCAGGATAGAATGGTTTTAACTAAAATTCCTACCCTCTCCAGAATAGAGCAGGGATTACCTGCTGATAGTTGTTGCTCTAGGGTAAAATAAGAGCTGTTCTCTGTTCGGGATACCTGAAGGGCCAATTATAAATTTTTGGCCTATTTCAATATTTCCCTTTTCAATCATCGTGTTCTTTCTTATATGAATATCATTGTATCGTATAAATCTGTCTTGTCGTTTACAGTTTAAGTTTTTAAACTCAATGTAGTTTAAAAAGTCTGATAAGTTATCAGACTAAATAAAAAGTAGAGTAAAGTAAAATTTATGACATCACATCATCACACATGTCTACAAAATTTCATCGCACTGTGTGAAAAAATATATAATAAATATTTCCCCACCAACATTAATTATTTATCAAATACAATATTTAAAAACAATTTTATCAAAAACATTATTATCCTATTTTAAAGACTTCCCAGTGGAATAAAGATTTATAAAATGCTTATTTGCCACATAAGGATGGAACCAAAGATAATTGTTGTGTTTCTCTTTATTACTGACATAACTGGCTCCTTCAATTCTTACTAAAACTTCATTAGAAATATTCCAAAAAAAGCAATCATTTGTAATACTTTTAGAAATCATATCTTTCTTAAATCCTTCTAATTTAATTTTAAAACCTAAAACTGTCACAGAGTTCTTGACGTCCGGAGAAAGTTTGTTCCAATAAAAATATTTGAATAAATTGGCTATTTTTACCCCATGAATTTAAACTTAATTAAATGTTCGTATTTTTATCCGATTTGTTTGAATTGTAGCTGCTGTACAATATACATTATAAATTATATTTATTCCATATAATTACATAATAGTATTTTCTATGATTAATCTTATGAGATATATCAGCGAATTGCAGGGTATCCCTTGGCCTTATTACAGTACGTATTGAGTAAAATTGAAGATCTCGCTTTAACTCGAGGAAGGAATTTGAGGGTGTCCAACCCCAAAAAATCCCATTCTCAAAACAGAAATGTCAGGTAAAGTTGGGTTTTTTTGGGTATTTTAAAGAAACAAGAAATGCGGCCGCTTTTCTTTTGTGGATGGCCGCTCAATTTCCCGATCCGTGATGGCGTATTTTATCATATTCCATACCACCTGGGGACCCCAGTCTTTACTGTTTATAAGCATGCAGATATGGCGGAGTGACAGGCCGAGCGCCGCCCAGTTAATATAATTCCATATTGAATTTGAAAATCGTGTATATTTCTATGTAACCATATGTTTATTGTTTATGCAACCTGTGCAAAATAGTAATACTAACTCAAAATAATAATAATATGCTATCAATTAGTGCCTAGCGGGATGCGTGCATGGTGAAATTAACAATGTACTTGAGCAGTTCAGCACCGCGCGCTAACAATTGTTTAATTCAGATTATCGCGCAAAATAACTTTGCACAGGCAGAAACGTGGGCGATAACTGCAGGGGCGAGGGCACGTCACATAGTGCGTACGCACGCTCGCACGCACGCTCGCACGCACGGTCGCAAGCTACCATATACAAAAAAACCTCGTTCGCTAACCCTTGTCCTTGACTCTTTTGTGCCTTCGGCACTTTGAGTCATAGATCGGGAAAAAATGTAAGACTTGAGTGGCCATTTTAGGTCAGTGAACTCTTACTTGATTAGAAAACATTGAAAGGCTGAGACTTGATTTAACAAAAGCAAAGTCAAGTACTGTGATGTGAGACAATGGCACCCCACGTACTCCCTGCGTACTGCTGTTTATAGAATTGGATTATAGAGTACGGCAAATTACACTCCTGCCCCACATAAGATGATGCACAAGATATGTGAGAATGTACTATACAACTTTCAGTTTAACCCGATGATTGGGTATTAGAATTATAGCCCGAGATTAATTGTATAATAATAATCTTATATGTTATAGATATTCATATAATAGCAGCAAAAAACGGGGATATTTCTCTAATTAAATACAGTAATCCCCCTTTATAACATGGTTATGAAAATGGCTTAGTTGTTATGGACTATGGAGGGTGGTGACATGTCCGCCTATGTCCTGTTCTTTTTGGATTCTATGAGACAACGGACGTGTTTTTTGGGACATTAGCGGACATTGACGGGCTCGGACGGACATTGGCGGACATAAGCGGACAAACATTATGAGAATTTTTCGCTCATAATTTGGACAATTGGAATGAGCTTATATTCATAAGAAGCATATATTTATAACCTATCGAGGCATCCCCTTTGCGATTCAATCTCAGAAAGCCTCCCCTTTACGAACCAATCTCGGAATCGGATTTTCGGCTCATAATGATCAGGGTAGCATAGAACATGAACTGAAGTAGTTTCCAGAAAAACTTTGAAAAATGTCGACTTAGAAAATTTTCGGTCCGGGTCATTCTCGATACGTACCTCTGAAGGCAGAGCTCCCGCTTCCGAGCTCGTATTGCGAAGGGGAGGCCTGCCTTCCGAGGGAAACCCTCGAGTTCAAAATTGGATATCGAAGGGTAGGTGTGGAAAAATATTTTCGGCTCATAATGATCAGGGTAGCATGAAACATGAACTAAAGTGGTTTCCAGAAAAACGTTGAAAAATATAGACTTAGAATCATTGTCAAAATTTTGCTGTCCACTTTTTTCCGCTATTATGCAAATGTCCGCTAATAATGTCCGCCAATGTCCGCCAATGTTCGCCTATGTCCTGTCCTGTCCTGTCCTTTTTGGATTCTATGAGACAAGCGGACATAGACGGACGTGACACCCCCCCCCCCCCCCCGCATTGTACCAACATGCCTACCTTATCCAAGTTCATGTGAATATTTCAGGGAACGTCTCTTTATTTAATATGAACAAAGGAACGTTAACGAAGACGATACCCGAACTGGAACTTATTATTCTGGTACACATGCAGGTCCACAAGCTGTGATACCGTCATAGGTTCACTCTTTCCCACAGTCTCCTGTAAACTATTTTATTTTGACGGAGTGGTCGGGTCGGGGTGGCTTACTTTAAATGGAGAAGATTTTATTTTTTTCTTTTACTCGGTGAGTCAAAACCAAAATGGGAGGCTGTTTCGACTTTTGAATTCTACTTGTTATTAGGAGGTCTGCACCGTAATTATAAAGTTCCCACTAAGGAAGATCGGCAAACACTGTCCGACAATGTCCGCCAATGTCCTGTCCTGTCCTGTCCTTTTTGGATTCTATGAGACAAGCGGAGTATTCGTTAAAAACGTTTTTTCACAAGATCGTTAAAACCGATTTTTTCGAATATTTCCGTTTAGCGTTAATAGGCGTTAAGCATCAACAAGCAGGCGTTCAATTATTAGGCGCGAAAATGTGGGTGTATCTCAAAACCACCCCCCCCCCCCCCCCCCCCAAATTACACGAAACGAACCATTTTCACGAACCGCGGGCCCCTATTGCAAAATACACGTTAATTCGGAGATTTGGGGTGTTTCTGAAATCAAAAGCATCGAACGTTGAATTACTACTAAAAACTGCCATAACTCAATTAACTATATAAGTATTACTAATAATTTGTTTGATTTTCTGGAGTTGATTCAGCGAGAAGCAATATTATATTAGGCAGCTCGTTCTGTAACGAACCACTCATTCTACTGTACTGAAATATAGACTGCTGATTGTTAACTTGACACCAAATCTTGGATTGAGCCGCTGAGAGAAGGTCACCGTGCCAACGGGACATTCCCTCACCGCTCACGGGACATTCCCTCAGTGATCTTCAGTTCGTTTGTAGATAAGTGTCATTTCGAGTTTCGAGTTTCGCTTGCCATTACCGTATTCTTATCATTTTTTCCCATTATTTCTATCAGTGTTGTGTAATGTGTTATTATTGTATTATTGATGTACATTTTTCCTGTTTCCTCACAAATCATTCTAACAATATTCATTTTTCAACGTTATGAAAAATAACCTGTAATGTAGTGAGATAAAAAGCAATATTGTAAACGTTAAATCTCTCAACCTGCGATAGGTGTTTTTCGGGGGGGGGGGGGGGGGGGGGGGTTGCAACGACCATTAATGACCATTAATGACCATCAATGACCATTAATGACCATTAATGACCATTAATGACAATGTCAGTTTTGTCAAAATTTCATCTACTGACATTAATGGTCATGTTTTTTCCGGCACTTCTTAGAGCGAAAAGGACGGACGCCTGCATCATTTAGACCCTACCTTAAGTTAACTAACTACAAGTATATGTTATTATTTTACATTTACAATTAGAGATTCGAAAGAGAAAACTTAGAATAGAATCTTCCGTGGTTAGGCAGACCTTCCAGAATATCACTTGAGTGGATTCCAGAGTGAGTTAGGGATTACATTTATTAAGTTCGAATGTAATGAAGAACACATTTTGCGGCCACGGGATTTAAACCAGATAACAGTTGGTGACTTATTATAGTTATCAATAATAATAATTCAAAGGGCAATTTAGGAGTATCAGATCGTATCAATAGTAAAATAACAATCAATAATAAAATAATAATAACACGGGTATTAAAATTAAATACTTCGTTCCCGTTCTTATATCATATCAAGATTTATATTTAGGCCAAATCATTATGCTAGTCGATTATATAGTAATTACACAGTAGATGAACTTATTCAACTTTAGCACTTCATGAAATACATCGTCATCAGTCTGAATCGGACAACAAAAAAGCTGATCTTTTCCTAGGATTAGATAGAACAATTCGTTTACAGTTCAATACTCTGCCTTCGGCAGTTTTGACCCAAAATCGAGCACTGTCGTCATGATAGGGACAAATTGATGCGGCAGGAATTCGTCTAGATCTGCAGTTGCCCTTTTTTGAAGCAGAGACACTCATTGATAAAATGGTACCGAGGCAACGAAGGGGACGTTTAGCCTTTTTTGGAACAAAGGTAGCACTTAATGAGTCGCCCTTTCGAATTGTTCGACGTTGACAGGGCTTAGAAGAATTTTTGCAGCCCGGTTGGTATGGCACAGAACCCTCGAAACAGCCGGTACCAAAAAATTTCGATCTCCGACTTTTATTTCCAAATATCGTCTTACCAAAATTACAGAACTTCGTAATAGAGGTGTTTTTGTTCATTTTCTTGTTTTTTATAGTAACTAAGTCATGAAGATCCTTGTCTTCACTTTCACTATCTGGTGCGACGAATTTCAATTATTTAATGACCATTAATGACCATTAATGACCATTAATGACAATTAATGACCATTAATGACAATGTCAGTTTTGACAAAATTCCATCTACTGACATTAATGGTCGTTGCAACCCCCCCCCCCTGTTTTTCAGGGCTTTGAAATTTGCTTACGTTAGCAATGGCATACAGCCTCACAGTACAAAGCTGCTCTTTGTCTGATAGCAGCGCGTTTTATGATCTCAGATCCTTTATATTTTTATCATGCTTCTGTAAACTAAGTTGCTCTTAGCATATGTGTTATATAATGTATCTCGTATCTTTGTAAAAACTCGAAGCATGCTTTAATCTAACATATCCAAACTCAGAAGCAAGAAGCAATGAGGCTGTTAATATTAACAATCACCCTATCCATTCTCGGGTCTGTAAGCAGTTGGGATTGCTACGATCAGAAGTGTTGGGGTACCGGGCGAAACAAAGACACTTACATCAAATGCGATCAGTCGTACCAACACTGTGACACTAACTACAACGGATATCCCCAGTGTCAGTGGGATGGCGATTCTGGGAACGGGACCAGCTGCCAAGGTTACTTCTCCTGCTCCTACCACAGCAATGGGGACGCCTACTGCAACAAAGATGATAATTACTTCTTCATAGCTGGTTGTGTAGGATTTTCTATATTTTTCATTTTGATACTCATGTGCATTATCAAGAAATCTATAAGCCATAGAAGAAGAGGATTTAGACTCGCTGTCGTCCAGATCATCGATGCTGAGGCTTCTCCAACCGATTATGGCGCAACAGCTTACTCAGGACAACCAGGTGGTCACCCAGCACAACCAGGTGGTTACCCAGCACAACCAGGTGATTACCCAGCACAACCACCCCCTCCTTATGATTCCGATGCCCATCCGGCCGCCAAAGAATGAGTACTCTTCTAATCCAAACTACCAAGGTCCTTGAAGTTACAACTGGTTGAAATATAATTGCCATCATATTGCAACCAATATGGGGGGAGGGGGGATGACTGAACGTTAAAAAGCTTGTTCAATGTTAAGGTATTAACTTACGTTAATCATATTAAACTTGACAAATAAATAATTTAAGGGGATTAATACATGGCACATAGTTCATGATACGGTCTAATGAAAGTGGATATGAAATCATAATAATGACTTACTCTGGCTAGGAAGTCTCCGAAGTCTTTATTGGTAGACTTTTCAAACTCCCAATCCCATATCCAACATCGCAACATTCATTTATTGGCTAGCTTTCAATAATATTTGATTAATTTGTGAGAATAAATGTAATTTGTTTTCATACTGCGGTTATTCTCATTTCTATTTCTAAACGACGCAGCTACCTTTAAAATGAACTTGTTATTGGGATTATAAATGAACGTTATTCAAATGAAACAAAATTGTTTATTATGTGTTCAGACTTCAAACTTTAATAAATAAACACATCTCAATAATATGAACTTGTCAAAATCAATATTATAAAAACTTAAAAGTGTCCCCTGGGATTCTTCTAGTTTTATTTTATAAATAGCAATAACACGAAGTATGTCGAAAGAGGAGTCAGTAAAATTATTTATACCATGTTTATTGTTTAACCATATCAGTTCATCAGATGAAAACGTAATCGTCCATAATAGTTGCCATCAATGTCACGAGAACTGAGCATTAGTAGATTTGATCCTTGAAACCAACGAATTTATTTGATTATCACTGAAATAGAAAAATGTTATGAACAAATAACAGACTAGGTTCTCATAACTAAACCAACATGCACAACTTTGTTAAAGAGATCATGAAGTGTAAATTTGCGAATTCTTCAAAAATACTCGAAACTTTGGTAGTGAGCTAGGCTTGATAATTCTGCCGCAATCCCAAAATAGCTCCGTCGTAATTGCTTCACAAGCTGAGATAATATGGGGCATATCAATTACATTTTTCCAAGTTGCGGCTAGGTGACAGGATAGCATATACGACATGTGTAAAAACACCTGATTTTAATCGTCCATAAAAAGTTTTCTGTTGGTTATTTTTTTGAACCGACAAGATTACCATCAGGTATAAACCATTATATTTCACATATCTTCCTAAATTTGGTGTACAGCGATTAATCTAGTTCCTACAAGCAATTAAAGGCAGCTCACTTCATGGAACTTGAATGTAGCACGAAATCCTGGAATAATAGCTTAATTTTAATGCCATCATGTGCGGCTGTGTTTCAGCTATCTTCATGCACATTTTGCTGATATGCCAACGAAATTAACTTGCTCAAAATTCAAAAAACATGGTTTTTTGGCATATTTTTGGCCCAAAAATCGGTTTTTTGCGATTTTACCTGGGGAAACTCAGACTTATCATTTCAAAACCACGTTTAATCGATTCTTCGGTCAAAAGTACGTCTAGAAAGATGTATGTGGAGTCCCTAGCGTATCGAGCAGAAAATGCCCGTAAGAGCTTTTACTAGTAAATCTATAAAACAATTATTTGACGCTTGTGTATATTATGCACATTATACAACCACAATTTTCGAAAGATAAAAGTCAAATCTATCAAGTGTCGTTAATTTGAAGATTTTATCAAATAAATCGGCGCCACAGCACATGAATAAAAATGTGCATTTTAACACTGTTTCTATTGCGGTGTCTGACAGTTAGCCGCAATCCAACAAAATAGGGCGATCTTCCAGTATCGATTTCACGCGACATAATTAAGTTACGAATCTTGGAATTCCGAGCCCTATTCTTATATTACTGTTTCTATGTGATAGTATATGTGAAATGTTTTGACGATTAAGTCGGGGACACTTCATGATCCCTTTAACAAAGGAAATGACATCTTTTAAAGCAAATATTCATCAAAGAACTTCTAGAAATGTAACTTACTTTTCTTTAAGAATAGCCCTAACACGGTCCTGCTGCTCATCAGACAGCGAGGGCAGGTTTTTACCAGTTTTGTTCTGGAACTTCAATTTCTGATGAAGTTGCTCAGCGTCCTGTTTAAGGGATTTAAGGGACCGGGACATTGAGTGCATCTCTTCTTTGAAGGATAGCTCAGCTGAAGATAAGTCAGGGAGCAGGTTTTGAACTTCTCGCATCACACCGGATACTCTGTGATAGTTGGGCGTTAACCAAAAATGTTTATTGTAAAACCGATATTAACAGTTTGCAATTAGAATTTAGATGGGAATCATCCGTCTCATCCGTTTCGGTATATGCATTCCAATTTCCAGGGAATGTATATACCGAAACGGAAAAGTAAAAAAATGATTATAGTTCTCATCCTAACGAAGAAGAATGCCAAAGAAAATTAAAGCAACCTAATTCCAGATATAAATTTGAATGTAAATGATGAACTTACCGCTGTCTCAGCAGTTGCTGGCGTTTTGATATTCTGCTTGATCTGTCGCAGAGTTTTTCTGATTCACCCGCTAACTCTGACACGGAGTTTTGAAGTTCTGATAACTCACTCTTGTGCTGAGTTTGTTGTTCCTGCGGTGCAAGTTAGCGGTTAAAGTTAGCTGACAAAGTTAGCAGTTAAAGTTAGTGGACAAAATTAGCGGTCAACGTAAGCAGCAAAGGTTAGCGGTCAAAGTTAGTTAATAAAGTAAGCAGTAAAATTACTTAAAAACAATAAGTTACTGTTAACAAGATCTCATAAAAATGAGAGGCAGATTTTGGGATTTAGATTGTGGGGGAATCTAGTAAGCAGCGAACATATTAATTAGTTTCGATGTTCCTTAATGAAAACAATCTAAATCACTGACATATTACATCAATACCTGTAATAATGACATGTGATGGAGCAGTTCTCCTCTAGCCTTGCTCTGTTTAGCGATGTACTCTTCCCTAAAAACTTGCGTGCTCTTCATGAGAAGTTCCAGTAACGCTTTCTGGGACATCCCCGCACTGTTGCCACACCTGAACATGTTAATGGAAGTTAGGATCGTGTCCGAGAGTGATATTAATTCAGAGTGGCAGTATTTCCTGTATATTATGCAAGTATATTATTATATGCAGCTAACTGTTACCTTAACAAGGGGTTACTGATGTTCCTAGCCAGTATTCCCTGTAGCTTCTGACTGAACAGTTGAGAGTGGACTTGTTTCATTGGACTAGCACAGTGTGAGGATTTGTCTCCGCCTGATAACAGGGGTATCTCTTCTCGGTGTACCGATCTAATTGGGATCAGAAATAATTAGATGGTTTTAATAAGATGGTTTTAATTAGATGGTTTTAATAAGATGGTTTTAATAAGATGGTTTTAATTAGATGGTTTTAATTAGATGGTTAATTGTAATGTGATGATATATTGAACAGGTGACCTTATTTTGCTAACTGAATGTTAATAAACATTGAACACGTTGGTTGTTGAGATTTAGTAAACCTGATAGGTAGAGATATAAACTCAGCGTTGCTGATGAGGACGAGTAGGTGAGCACCTAACATTGGGTCCTGGACTACAGTGCTGCCAAACAGACAAGTAGGGTCCCCGGCTCCCACCGGCTGCACACACAACATGTGCTCAGCAACACACTCACACTCCAGGTTGAGCTCACCGTCCTCTGCTGTCAAGATAGAGTGATTACTGATTAGTGCAGTGGGATTTAGTGCAGTGGGATTTAGTAGAGTGGGATTTAGTAGAGTGGGATTTTGTGGAGTGGGATTTATTGGAGTGGGATTTATTGGAGTGGGATTTATTGGAGTGGGATTTAGTAGAGTGGGATTTAGTGTAGTGGGATTTAATGGAGTGGGATTTAGTGGAGTGGGATTTAGTAGAGTGGGATTTAGTGGAGTGGGATTTAGTGGAGTGGGATTTAGTGGAGTGGGATTTAGTGGAGTGGAATTTAGTGGAGTGGGATTTAGTGGAGTGGGATTTAGTAGAGTGGGATTTAGTGGAGTGGGATTTAGTGGAGTGGGATTTTGTGGCGTGGGTTTTTTTGGAGTGGAATTTAGTGGAGTGGGATTTTGTGGAGTGGGATTTAGTGGAGTGGGATTTATTGGAGTGGGATTTAGTGGAGTGTGATTTAGTGCCGTAATTTTATATAGTTTTGTATAAGATAAGTAAAGTTTTGCCATCACGGAGGGTAGACATTTTAGTATGTACTGAGGGTAATAATAACCCTCGTGCTGGTCACACATATTCGTATGAGGTCTCAGGTAAGTGTCAGAACTCCCTGCACTGGAGAGTTGAGAGTCTCGTATTATATTTGTGCACGTGAATGATTGTCGTAACAACAGCATAAAAACAAACATACCTTTTACAAAGTGCTCTAGACGTTGAACTGCGGGAAGAAAAACACTGTGTATTCCGGTATTGTGCCGGACAAAATACCGGTCTCGAGCAGTGGGATCAGGGATCAGACTGATAGCACTGACATCCTCGTCACTACTTTGTGTACACGTGCTCTCTCCTTCCTCCTCCACTAAATCTGGTAGCTCTATTTCAACTGTCTCCAGCAGGTACAAACACTCCTCTTCTTCAACCTGTTATAAACGTCAGATAAAAGCACTAGCAGCTATAGATTCTGCATATTATTTCTTTTATCCTGGTTTTATTCTCAAGCGTTATGGATAAACCATATACGGTAACCTGACCACGGACATTAAACGCACGGTTGGTAAACATTAAAAAGTTACTTAGCACAAGGTTAAGGTCAAAGTCTACCTCAGAGTCCTGAAGAAGAGCCAAGTGTTGGAGAGTACCAGAAAGTGTAGCAACGGCAAGAACAGGAGGGTTGGACTGCAAACACAGAATAGAACAAGCATCTAGTTCGTAATTCTCGTTATCGGGAGGCAGAACTTTTAAAGGTCCTCTCAGCTCACTCCTAGAACTGCAATAAGAAAGATCTGTTACAAAAATGTAATTTGATAACTTCATGACACGACTGATAAGATCAATAACTGAAAAGAGAGTAAACATCAAATATTCAGCTTTTTAGTAAAAAAGAAATAACAAAACTTACGTTCTATTATTATTTAATGGGAGACTTAAAGTAAACACATCAGAATTTTCCTCCAAAACAAATACAGTAACAGCTTCTTCCCCTTCGACCACTGGCCCAAACGTAAACGAAACCATACTCCCTGAAAGCAAGTGTAAAGGATGTAAAATAGGAATATATGCGTGAAAATAAAAACATTTAAAGATAAGAATCAAGACACTTCCAATATAAATTCAGTCAATTAAAAATGCGTATAAACTGAATGAGCCGTAGAAATTCCTTAGCCGTAAAGTTTCAACCAATCAGTCACAGCTCAATTATTCGTATGAACAATCCACTGAACAAATCACTGAACAACAAACAAAGCACTGACCAGCTTGCGCGGATAGCAAAGATGGGCCGGCAGACACGTTTAGGCAGTGTAGATAAGGTATGATACTGTCCGTGTTGAAGAGGGGGTAGCTTGCAATTGCACAGGCTGGCTCCTCCGTGGAGTACACTCTGAGGATAAATTATGATAGTAACCATAGTAACTATGAGTAATGATAGTAATTATTATAGTAAAGAAATTTCGTTTCATTTTGTAAAAAAAAACATAGCAGACCATAGGTCATATTATTGTTTAACAAATTGAAACAAAATATAGAAAGTGAAACCGAAAATAATTGTCATATCGTGACAAACAACCTCAAAATATTGTCTGAAGTAAGGGCGACGAGGTGAGTGTCCTCAGTATGTCCAAAGTGCCACTTAACATCAGCCGCCGATATCTTCGTATGTCCTTGAAAAAATCTGGCTGCAATGAACGTACACCTGATAAACAAAGCTGTTAAATTATAGCCGATGGTTGCAAGAAGCATCCCCTAGACATCTAACGTCTCCATTCTCAGACAGATATTAGTTTTATGATTTATCGGACAAGAGAATTAATTCAACACAGCATTATATAGGCAAGATCATGGTCAACATGCCGCAATACCTGTTGACTTCTCTTAAATGAACTAACTGTAAAGTGGTCCCATTCCGACAGTCGAAACTTATACATATGAGTATTGCTGAAAGCACAGTGTAAGGCCTACACGGACCGCCTCTAACTAGCCAATCCCTGTTTACATGCCGTGTAGCTAGCAGGGGACTATGACATGTAGGTGCAATTAAAGTTGAAATTTTGGCTCTAAACTCCCCGAGATTTTTTCTGATACGAGATTGGGGACGGGTTCTATAAACAATTAACAAACATATTATACAATAAGCACAAGGTTCACAATTCAAGAGATCGATTTAATAGAAGCGGCAACGCAAAAACGCGGCTCTACGGTGCAACCAAATTGTTTGCTACCAAGATAAAATGACTTCGCGCGCTACAAATACTGAACAATAATTTTGGACAGTCAGAAGGACTTTCTACAAAATTGTACCAAATAAAATGGTCGAAAATCAAGTGTTTTAAAAATAACATAGAAATACAAATTTCTTGAAACTTTTCAGATAGAAAAATAATTATAATAGCAATAATCTGTGAGAGTTTGGGCGAATTTCTATGTGCGAAACTTGAGATATCACTTCAAACACAAGGAAATATCTTCAAATTGGTGGTTTTGAGTGGTACTAAGGTATTTATCTCGAGATCATGTTGATCAATTTTCTTTAAACTTTCCAGATGGTAAAAAACAAGTCGTTTAGCTTATACGAACGGCTATCACAGTATCTCCTTCAGAGTATGTCAAGGTCTCTCAAAGTGGTGGCAATACCGCAACATCGAGTACTATTGAGGACTTTGAAACAAAATACGAGGCATGTTATGCGGTATAACATTGCATGGGGAATGCCAGCCGCATATAAATCGCTTTGACTGAAGTTACACAATACCACACATTACACAATATGTACCTGCAGGTAGTGATTCCGTTGGGTTTCCTCCGTCTTGGAATTTCAACTACAGCAATGCCGTGCTCACCCCAAAGCAGCAACTTTTGTCCCTTAGGACTCACCGATATATGGGATATCGTGAAACTTGGTATTTGCGACAACATCAACTCCTGAAAATTAATGTTCAAGTCACTTGCTGTCATGATCAAAATGTTTTATTACTAAACTCATCAAGCCTTGGTGCAAACAGAGCTGATAAATAGAAAAAAAGGGGGAAAAAACCTGTCATACCTGTGTTTGAAGGGGTTTGTCAGGCTGTAGATCTCTGTGATAGAAGATATAACAATGAGAATTATCTGGATTACACACATACACCTCACCGTCGTGCTGGGTAACCAGGTCTGCTCTACAGCTACAAAACTCAATGTCCTCTAGCTCCGGAAACAGTATGGGTTGACGAGATGTGGGGGCCATGTTCGCTACTGCACAGATATTGGGCTTTAAAAGTGATGTTCAGTTTCATACATACAAAAGAAAGAAAATTTCTTTGAAAACTTACACAGATATGTTGAATCTTAATCACAGAGATAACAAATTCCAAAACACTGAGGCCGAAGAAAAAACATGTTTCATATTAAAAATAAATAGAGTGAATACTGGAAATACATAAAACGTAATAAACAGTGGGATAAAATGGGATCTCTCAATTGTTCCGCAGGCCAAGGGGGGTTAGAAGTTGAAATTTGCTTGAAAATCTCTAAAATTTATCATAAGGCACCAATTTAGATCAATGATAATATATACCCAAAAATAGCATCGCAATCTTCATCAGTTAAAAGAATATGTCAATATTCCTGAACTCGATGTCACTCGGCCTGGCAGTGCTTCATAAAATGTGAACTGAGCTAAATCTTCTTTGGTCAGATTCTGGCTGTAACTTGCTCAAGCAATGTAGCCTTTGAACTGGGTGAAACACTCCAGGATTTTGGGTTCGATTTCAGGAGTAAATAGTAGGGTTTGGAGTGTCACCATGTACCTGAAAATGTAACAGAGTTATTTGATATGATGCGGATTTTTTCAGATAAGATAAAACAGAAATATAGTCAGCAAGACAGACCCTGGGTTGAACCTAATAACTTGTTGGCAATATTTATGAAATTTCATAATAAGTAAGGCAACAAAATATCAAAATATCTTTATAAAGAAGCACCACTAACCTTTTAACTTCTCTGCGGTACTTTACAAGAGTCTGTCTAAGTCTGTCTCGAGTGCATCTAAACCAGAGTGTCTGTGTGTATCTGGACTCTTGTTCACTCCGCACGATGTGGTCCGTCAATATCATTATAAATCTCTGAGATTAGGTTATATCATAATTTTTTTAATTAAAAGATAATACAAAAAAAGTTATATGAACAACATGAAGATGGTACATTAAAGAAACATAGATTGAGAAAAAAATAAATGGGAGTTTTGTTTGTTAAAATTATGTACGTTATTTTTAAGCCCCATATTTTGTGAAAAGGAAATGGCTGCGGTAAATCGGGGTTTACCGTACAATATCGGGGCAAGGTAAATGGAAGTTTCACTGTACCTGCACGACAATGAGGAACACTTCTTTCTGACTCCTTTCTGCGTCCTCCAATAATTTAACATAATGGTCCACCTCCTCCTCTGCTGCTTGTACTAGCTGTTTTCTCTTCTCAGCTATGTCTGGATCAGGAGCCCCGGCTTCTTGTTCCTGGGAGAGATCCGACTTTTAAAATAGTAAAATAAGCATCGCAGCAAAAAAATTATAAAGTGTTGTATTTCAATTAGTTTTGTGATTTTTGTTTACATATTTATTTATTTATTATTTTACATATTATGCACCATGACTGGATTCGTTAGGGAAAATAACTAGTAGTTGTGTATCATAGTTCTAGGCTGCTGTACCTTTTTGTCGTTTAGTTTCACCTTGCTTTTCTCCAACTCAACTTTGATTCTGTCGCACCTCTTGATACAAAACTTGATAGTTGTATCCAACATCTGCCACAAATACAATCTAGGCGGTAGATTACAGTTAGTTCAACATCTAACTCCCTGTTATTGCTCAAAATATGAAAACAAGTCAGCAATTTTGTTATCAACACAGTCGTAAAACTCATTAAACGGATTTGTATTTTGTGTATATCAGTGAATATCAGCAGATAAACCATATTTTTTTCAAACGGGTGACAGCCATTAACCACCTAATGAGTTCCTTTTACCGATAATTAGACAACAATTAGTAAGAGATATCATGAAACATACCTGTCAAAGTGGGGGAGCATGTAAGGACTGAATATCCAACTGACGATGCAACTAGGCTCGATTAACTGGAAATTTAGGTACTTTTCTATCATGATACACATAAGCTGATGGTTTGTTTTGAAGAAACTGAACGTTATCTTTAGGCAGCACACTTTGGCATCTTGGTTGGGCATCACTGCCATTATTAAATCTCTGAATCTGAAAATTAAATGTTGTGTTATGTAATCACTTCGCAATTGAATAACCTTAGTCCATGTAATATGAATGATTTTGTAAATTAATTCAAGCAGGTCGAAAATGGGAGAATAAAGCAAGATCATTTAAAAGATAAACGATGGGATGCTATTGGTTAGATTAAGATTCATCTCACCTGTTTAAAGCAACACTGATATGACTAATACTCTTGCATCCCACTCGGAGAATGGTCTGAACAACAACTTCTAGTTTAGCTTCCGGGTACACTGGGTCCAGTTCTCGACCTGAAATACACTTTACGATAAGACCAATTTTGATATGTGAACTTCTTATAGTGGGGTTCAATTATTGCAAGTCGTCAAAAATTAACCTCAATAAAATATGCATTTCTGAAAAATGAAGAAAGTTTAACTGTACGTATAGTACCATCAATAGCGCCGTCAGGAAGAGGATCTAAACTTCCCAACATCATATCCAGCCCCTCCTTATTCTTGATACTTTCTATCAGAGCTTTAGCGCACTGAGCCTGCAACCTATTCTCAGGGGTTATCTCCGCGAACTTGTGGTTATATCCTGGTTTTACTGGCAGAAGTGTTACAAACTCCTCCGGAATAACGTCCTTAAGTTTCTCGTAAAATGTCAACCAGAGGAGTTTGAGGAACACTTCTTTAAGGAACTTGGGTTTGGGGTGGTTGGGGTCTGTTTGGTTGAGTTTGACACATTCTTCCCACTCACTCCACGTCCAATGGTATCTGTGGTATATTCCTCTCAGTATAATAGGCATAACAGAATTCTCGGAAGCAAACATTTAAATTATAAAGTTATAACAACTTAATCCACTAAATTAATGACGATAGACAACAAAATACAACAAAATACAACAAAATACAACAAAATACAACAAAATACAACAAAATACAACAAAATACAACAAAATACAACAAAATACAACAAAATACAACAAAATACAACAAAATACAACAAAATACAACAAAATACAACAAAATACAACAAAATACAACAAAATACAACAAAATATAACAAAATACCCACTTGAAGTTGCTGAGGAAGTAGGCGAACCAAGACCCAAATCTGTCAACCAGAACAGTATTCATGGTATCCAGTCTCTCGTAGACATAGGCCACAGCTTGAGCGAGTACTTGGGGAAGATGGTCTGCCATCAACTGGCAGAGTTGGACCAGGATACTGCCGTAAAAGAGTTCAGAGTATCTGGGCACTGGTAACTCCAACAGTCCACCGAATAGAACCTGGCAACAGTTTATTATGTATTGTTTGGTTACTGGAGAAGTGTACAAACCTCGGAATAACGTCTTAGTTTCTCGTAAAATGCAACAGAGATTGAGAACATTCTTAAGGAACTTGGTTTCGGGTGGTGGGTCTGTTTGGTTAGTTTACCTTTTCACTCGTCATCAAGTATCGTGGTAATTCCTTCAGTATAATTAAATGGGCATACGGAGTTCGAAGGGAACTTATAAAGGGGGGGGGGTTTAACATACCCAATAATGACGATGAAATACACACACAAAACAACAATACAGCAAAATACACATTACACAAAATACAACAATACAACAAAATACAATCACAAATAAACAAAATCAACAAATCACAAATCACATACCATTGAGTTGCTGAGGAAGTAGCACCAAGACCAAATCGTAACCACAGTTCATGTATCAGTCTCGTAGCTGGCCAAGTGAGCGAGTATTGGGAAGAGGTCTGCCTCAAGGCAGATTGGACAGGATTCGCTAAAAGTTCAGGTATTGCTGGTATTATAAATTCACAGAACTTGATTAACGGGGAGCGAGCTACTATGAAAAGTTGGCACATTATAATTAACTCGCATGAGAATGAAAGTAACCCGACCAGGAGTAGCTACGAACTCAAAATTGTAACATCATTGATTAATGTATTGGTAACCAATGTACCTCAACCAGCATATAATTAAGCGGCATAGAACTCCGTCCAGAGATTCTGAGCAGAGATTCCGCACATTCTTTCTTTGTCATATTCTTGCTGTTTATAACGTTCATTATAGCATCCTCGACTAGGAATCTGTCTATACTGTTGAATCGGGGCAACTTGGGAACTTCGGGTCGATTAGGAACATCCTGAAAAGTCAACAGTCAACCATTTCACTCCTACACAAGATAAATTGCATTTGTTATATAAGTGGACGGCATCCAGGACCCTATAATTCCCAAAATAAAATCCAGTGATAGCGTGCTCAAATCCAGGGAGCAAAGCCTATAAAATATATTCTAACTTTTTAGTGAATTTGTGTTTGATTTATTCATCCCAATACTCACCTATAGCTATAACAGGATAAATATTCATATTATATTTGAAAAGGGACGCTATAGGGGACCATAACATCAGATATTTTAAAAGACCCTAATATCAGCTTTAGAACCGCGACAGGGGTAAAAGCATTCCTTAACAAGAACAATAAAGAAAAAACCCGACAAAAAAACACTCCGTTGACAACGTACCGGAGTGTCGAATATTCTGAAAACAACAGTAGGTAGAGGGAACTGAGTGTGTTCAAGATCTGCAGGAAGCTCGAACTGAGGTAAAGGGTGCTGAAGGGAGCTCTCCAGCTTGCTTTCAAAAGCCACGTACGGTCTGATTATCCAGTTATCCTGAAATGTTGAACTTTTGATAAAAACACAATCAGTGATCAAAGAGCGACATCTTGATTCTTGTATCTACATCTATGTTGTGTACGGTTTCGTAAATGGTTTCATTCTACATTTTTATTTCTTTCAATAGACCTATTTGGTTACAATCTAGATTTCATTTAAACTGCTTTTAAATATGCGCTTTAAAACAATATGATGTACAGCCCACTCGCACTCCCTCTCTTATTTTGAAATACTGTCTCTTGTATTATTCAACTAGAGGCAAATAATAATTATTATAAGCATTACTTTTCACATCCTTCACATACATGATATTATGAACTTTAGAAAGCACATAGCAAGCGTATTATATTATTTTTACTTTGGTTTCAACTCATAAATCATGATAGATATTAGACGTCATAATTTTCCAATCATACTTTTATAGCTCGCTGTAAGCGTTACACAGTTCTTAATTTTGATCTGGACAAAAATAGATAATTTCCAAACCTCCCAGTTGTTGTTCCGCATATTTTTAATCTGGAGCCACAGAGAGTCCATATATTCTATTTGAGGTAAAGGATTATCACTCGACCACACCCGTATTGATGGCATGTAGTGCTTTTCTCTCTTTTCTATTTCCCTAAAATTCAAAACGTTGGATGACATATTTTTGATTTGCTAAATTCACCAATATTTAGAGATATCGGTAGACAAATCGTATGTAGACACTTCTCAACTGTGGTCTGTACTCACTATCAAAGTTTATTTTCAAAACTCACGTTTCTAGGATATCCAGAAGACGGTCGAATTCCACTTGATCTTTACTGTCGCTAAAATGAAGCCCTATCCAGGGCAAACACTGCATTACCGAATAGAGCAGAAAATCTCTCATACTCTGCGAGATTATAGATATTAATAATCGGAGTTTACACTACTCGATTGTATCGTAGACAATCCAGTATGTTATGGACAGTAGCACTAATAACAGTTCCTCATTATCATGATTATGACGGAGAAAGTTTATGTAAAATACAAAGTAGGTATAAAAGTGTAAGTAAGATTCATATTAGTTTAAAATGTTCCTAACTGGTTTGACTCCAGGTTGAGCAGCAGTTGCGATGAAAGTGTCAAACAAACCGAGCAGGGAGGCGCCCAAAACAACATTACAATTTATAAGATCTGCCAGAAATCTGATCAATAATTGTACGCTCCTCCATTCCGCGTCATCAATCAGTGTTCCAAGTCTCTCCATTATCAACACCAGGAACTGAAACAGCCCTTATCAGGTTCACCAAGTATCAGGTTACTAGCTAGTCATATTATACAGCTGTCCTGATGGAATGCTATCATTTTAAGTTGTATATAATGTATATTTGCTTTATTACCTCGCCCCCTGTTGAGAACATTTTGACGTTCAGAAGGCCGACCAGAGTCGAGTAGATCGTCATCTTCTCCGGCTGGCCAATTGCACTAAAGAGTTGAATTGTTTTAAATTTTAGTCACCAACCGACAGTGAGAACTATAATTTATTGCACATCTGGTTAATCGTCGGTATGAATTTGTATTGAAACTTTTTCAACGTTTTAAACGGACATAGGCAAGCGTTACTAACTTTTTGACCAAGGAATTTAGGATGAATTCCTTTTTCGTTGTTATCTCCTGATCGAGGATGTCAACTAAGCGCTCAAGATTAGTTTCTAATGACTCCTGACTTTTCTCTCCGATTCTTTTGATTAGTTCTTCTAATCTCGTATTCAAATCTGCGATTGTGATATTATTAATTTGCAAACGTTCAGTGGTTGGAGGCTTATTAACGAAGTATAACTTTTAATGAAAAACCACTATCATTTCTATTACTTATCTTCCTGTTTATGAACAAAGTTCCCAAAAATGCCATCTTAACAACGTCATGTGAAAGTAATTTCTGAATACAATGTTCTCATTCAGCGAATAAAAACACCGGAATGTGAAAATCTTACCATCGTCTTCATCAAACTTCCTCTTCCTCTGGATTCTTACTTGTTCCACTTCCATATTCTATGAACGATAGAAATTACTTAAAGACTAAAAATAAAACATTCCGCTGTCACCCCACTCTAAATAAGTTGTACAGGCCACATATGGGTGTATATTCTAACTTGTATGATAATTCAGGAAATGTCAAAGAAAGTAGCAATAGTGACGGGTGGTACGAGAGGGATAGGGCGCGGTATAGCAGAACACCTTGCACGTGCAGGATACGATCTTATCCTGGGTTACAACAGTAACACCAGTGCAGCAGACACAACAAAGTCGGCTCTAGAGTCCTGCCATGGAGTAAAGGTGGTAACAGTGGGAGGTGACGTGGCAGAGCAGACCACCACAGACAGAATATTCGGGTGTTTGGAAACGGAGTTTCAAGGACAGGAGTTGGGTGCTTTAGTTCACAATGCTGGCTTGTACGTGGGTATAACAACACCTCCAGATAGTGACAAAGCCACTGCAGCGACAGCAAGCAGCAAGCATATGTTAGGAGACGGTAGTTTCGATAACTTTGATCAGTACGACTATTATCAGAACGTTTATCCAAAGTGTTTTGTACGACTAGTGGAAGGAGCGGCAGCACACATGAGAGAAGGAGGCCACATTGTTGCTACCAGTTCACCCGGCTGTAACAGTAACCAGACCACTAAACTAAACTACATGCTCCCCGGGCAAGCCAAGGCAGGTTTGGAGTATCTGGTCCGACACTACGCAGTGCTTCTAGCTCCCAAACATATAACAGTTAATGTTATAATCCCTGGTTTCACAAGAACAGAGGCCTGGGAACTGCTTAGTGCTCCTATGGGTGGTATTAATGGGGAGGTGGTGGAGGGGTTGCTAAAGAAGAGATGTCCGATGAACAAGTGGGGAACTACTGACGATATGGGCGGAGTTGTAGCTTTTCTGTGTTCTCCAGCAGCTGGTTATATAACTGGGGTCTCCATCCCGATAGATGGAGGTTTACATTTAGTTTGAAGTTACAATTATGTACAATTGTTTCGAGTTTTAGTTGTTTTTGTGTTTTAATCGATGCTGTGTGTTTCACTGATTTACATTACGAATAATAAAAATCAATTAGACGAGTGAATTTTGTATCATTTAACAGTTTTATTTAACATTTTGTCAAGCAACAAATTTACAATAAATGTTAATAGGTAAAAATGTATTGCTGAACAACACTCTAATATTAAAAAGTATAATATGGTTCAAACCGTGGAATAATTACAAATACATTCTTTAACGACTAAAACTGTGATATAAAATGTGTGTTCAAAACGTAATATAACACACAAGGTTTAACAATACTTCATCTACGTTTGATAAAGTTAAGTTAATAATAAGTTGAAATATTGAAATATATGTAGCAAGATTTTAAATAATGCAATATCGTTTGGTAACCATTGGCATTACTTCGTAGGCGGGAAATAACGATGCAATCTGAGGTGGATTGAACATTTTTCTCACAATTAGATACATGACCACTACTGTGTATACAAACCGATACACTGTCTTCGCCATTACATATAATTCACAAATGCAAATTTCCCAATTGCCAGAATAACATATCTTTTGAAAGAAATTATCCCATGTCTCTTGATTAGGTTAGTCTTCGCCAAGCCTTGAAAATACGTTCATCAAACACCATTGACCATACTCATGTCATTCCATGGTTAGTAACGGGTAATCAGTAATGACAGTAACTACACTGTGCTTAACCTATACTCCCTCACAACTCATTGTTTTGTTTGAGTTTGGCTATCATTTTGAGATGACCAAACTGGTGCTCCATATCCTGGATCAGAAACTCGAGCTCGTGCTCCCTGTGTTTTCTGATCGCTTTGTAGATTTCTACCTCCTCGTGGTACCTACCTATCAGTCTGTTCTCCTGATAAACAAATTAGGATAATTAGTTTAACTGAAAATTATTTTAGTACACGCAATCAAAAAATCTCAACTATGCAATTTGCGATGCGGGATTTATTCAAACTGAAAACAAGAGAAAAGCATCTCGTTACAACTGACCTCTCTTATTTTCTCCTCGATACTATCCACTGTTTCCTGCTCACTGAGCTGTTTCCTGAGTTCCTCGGTAGAGTGCCGGGCATCTTCAAGCTGCTTTTTCAAGCTATCTGACTTTGCTATACATTTCTGTCTCTCCATTTGACTCAGTTCTTGCCTGAAAGGCACATTATTGGTTATTAACACTAGCGATGTAGATTGGTTATTGGCTTTTGTTTAGGTAACGTAAAAAGTACATGATATATAAATATAGAATAATGTATGTGATTTTTCAGTTTTTCACGTACAAGGCATATTATAATAAACAAATTGTGATTTACAGTACAACATACTGGTCACGTGATACGCTTTCACTAGACCATAATTACCAGATAACAGAATACGACACGATAAGAGAATCAGGTGCACAATATTCTGAGCTGAGAAATTATATACAACCAACATTTCCCATACTGTAAAATGTATTTGCTTGTCACATTTGCTGCTCTAGTAAGCTTGATCTCAGCTGACTTTGTGCCGGAATGTTGGATTGGTCCAGTTCAAATGGCAGCGAAGAATGGGTACCATCTCTCTAGACACTGGGTTACAACCCGAGATGGATACATTCTTGAAGTACACAACATTCCTTCACCAAGTCCCACAGCTGAAGTTGTATTTCTACAACACGGACTGTTAGATAGCAGCATGACTTGGATGCTCAACGAGAAACAAGGTTAGTTGAACGTATTCAGGATATCATCCTGTAAACTGTAAGCAGTTCTCTAATAATCATTAATCACTATTATAAACAGTTTCTAGATCTTACGGCGTTTATTATAAACCGAACTAATGTCTCACGTGCCTTTGAAATGTTCCGCACCTCAACCAAAATGAACGTGATATGATTATTTTGATTCCGTCTGTAATCAATAATCAATACACGAATCACTTATTCTAGCTGGGAAGCTAACCAGAAAACAGCCAAGTTTAACTGGTTATAAAACTAATTTCTAAAACCTCAGGAAGTTTAGCATTCATTCTCGCTGATTCTGGATACGATGTTTGGATGGGAAATGTCCGGGGCAATACCTACTCAAGAAACCATACAATACTTTCCCCGAAATCTGCTGAGTTCTGGAATTTCTCATTTGACGAGATGGCAGCTGTAGACCTACCAGCTATGGTGGACTATGTCACTAAGACTACAGGAAAAAACAGTATTTTCTACATAGGACATTCACAAGGAAGTGAGATGGGTTTTATCGAGTTTTCCAGGTAATGTCGTATAATTTTCCTGGTATAACTGTTTAATTTTGTTTCTACTTTACATGTACAAATTATATCAAATTTATCATTAACTTTCGAGGAACACATGTATATGATAACTATATTTTCTTAGGAACAAGGAGCTGGCAAAGAAGATCAAACTATTCACAGCACTAGCACCAGTTGCCAGAGTCAAGTACATCAAGGGCTTAATTTGGTATGTAGCACAACTGCAGGGTACCTTGGAATGGACCGGACACAAACTCGGTATAAACGAACTATTCCCCAGCTGGTGGCTGCCCAAACTCATGGTAACCCACGTGTGTCCCCACGTGGAGACTTTCCTCTGTACCAACGTAATGTTCCTCATTACTGGAGCTGACAAATCCAACTTCAACAGCTCCAGGATTGAGGTATACGAGTGCCACAATCCAGCTGGTACAAGTGTCAAGAATGCAGTGCACTGGGCCCAGCTTATAAACGATCAGGATCTCAAGATGTTTGACTACAAGGATGAAGAGGAGAACAGGAAGCACTATGGTCAGGACACTCCGCCAGTATACGATATTACAGGGCTGGATGTGCCGACTGCACTGGTTATGGGAGGAGAAGACTGGCTGGCAGACCCGCAGGATGAGATATGGTTACTTGGAAAAATAGGAAATGCTGTGACTAAGACCATAATTATTGATTATTATAACCATGTAGATTTCATTTGGGGTTTAGATGCTCCTCGAAAAGTTTATTATCCGATAATAGAATACATGAAATCCCTGACTGATGATAAATAACTTTTATAAGTGATTAAATGTGGCTGCATGAAATACCATCATATCATGATCACTGCCGGCAATAGCCAGACTTTTAGCTTGTGTCAGTATGAAAACGTTTAAAAAGTGACTTTAGTTGTTTTAACATTCCGGTTTAACTAAATCAAAGCTTATCTATCAATTGTATTATCTTACTTTTGTTTAAGTTGATGCTTTGCCTGTATCAAGGTGTCGGACTCCAGTTTCAAATCATCCTCCAAGCGCTGAACTTCTATCTTTTGATCAAAGAGCTTCTTTTCCAGTTTAATAGAATCCTGTGATGAATTAAATCTTGGAACAAATGGACAATGATCATGTTGTTCAAGATATGACGAGTGACAATAGCTAATGATATCATACTAAATCAAAGATTTTTAATTTAATTTATAATTTTTCTATACACAAAATATTGATAACCAGAATAAAAAACCTCTTTGTCAGCCGATACTTTCTTCTTTAGTCTTTCATTTATGGCTGTAAGCTGCATTATACTCTTGTTATCAATAACTCTATCAGTGTCGTATCTCACATCTGGTATAATTGTCTGTATCTCACTGATCATCTTCCTCATTCGCTCCTGAAATCCATGTATAAAAACCTATAATCACTGATAATGGCCTCGTATGGAATGATCCGCCAAACAAAAAGCCTGGTACAAACTTCCATTCGATTAAAAAAATAAGATTATAAGGATAGAGCGGGATAGAGCATGAGATTACCTTTAATTCTCTTTGCTGCTTGCTGAGAGCGATTTCTCTTGATGCATTTTCCTCCACTAAATTAACATTTTCCTCGACTAAATTATTTCTCTGAAGAAATGACTGAATTATTATTGAGCAGTTCGAAAGAATTAATTCACTGTAATCGTAGACTTATTTCTATAATTTCAATTAAAGAGTTTGGCATTATATAAAGAAAATTTGATATGGAAATTTGGCGCTACCTTTTGTTCATATTTTTGATAAAATTTACCCTAAAAGTCAAACGATTTTTTATCTTGTACTAACTTTATCAAGAAGGTCATGATAATGCCGCTTCAATCGTTGAACTTCGTGTTGTGGTGGCTGATCTGCAATCAGATTTTCTAATCTTTCGATTTCGCATTGCTTGTTCTTCATATCTTCTCTCAATTCGTCCAGTTGGATTCCCTGTTCCTCAAATTGAGCTTGACAACTTTCAGCTTCTTTTTGTCTGTCTTTGATTAATTGAGAAAAAGCTTCCTCATCTTCATCTTGTACAATAATTTCCGCATTGATTTTATCAATCTTGGCTTCAAAGCCTGCTTTGATTTCAGGAAAAGCATTATTTTCAACTTCAAGGGCCTCATGCTCTTTATTGAGTCGATCATTTTCTTCAGTAAGTCTTTTCACTGTACCCTCAATATCGAGTTCTTTTAAATACTTTTCCTTGGAATCATCATTTGCTGTGTCACCAGTTTGGAAGTCTCGGTAGTGTTTAGCTGAAATAATCTGATGCCTTAATTCTTCTTCTGCCTCTTCCTCTTCTTTACAATTGATGGTATATACTTGGGAAATATGTGCCGCCTCGTAATCTGTCATTTGGATGATATTTACGAGAAATGCGAGAGCTTCAAGAAGATACGGCCAGCTAATAGGACTGCCAACAGGTTTGAAATAACTTTCCTTTAACTGATAAGGATACGACAAATCATTCATTAATCCCATGACATCACTTGACAGTCTAGTGATTTCAAAGCCAGGATACCAATCCAGAATAATAAACCGCAATACTTCTTTAAAAGTTGCCTCAGTAGGGTTCATAAGGTTTTTCCTTGTCAAAACACTGGGGTATTCTTTGTCGATCAGAAATTCAAGAATGTCTTTGACATTCTTCTTCACATTGCTTTTTGCATCAACTTTAACAAAATTGGACCCGATCGTTGATTGTCTACCAGCATAAACTGAAGATATAACACAATCAATTTGCTTGCATCCAGCAGTTATCAGCAATACTCTAGTTTTTTTGAATAAAATCTGCATTTAGCATCATTTATTTGGCATGTATATTGTAATCAGATCGCTGAGAAATAAATTTAAGAACATGTGATATCCGACCAAATTAGATTGCTTAAACTTACTTTTCTGATGTCTTTAAATGTAAAAAACAGGAAAAAAAAAGAGCCAATTGAAGGTTAACTGACTGTAGTGTTAAAAGTTTAGTTTGTCCACCGATGAAATTCCAACAAAACAAACTAGTATTTTTATTTGTTGGCTTATTGTGTACCCTAACCTGACTGCCGAGAAACAGAAGGTCTTGAAATTGACTGTCTGGATACTGAGGGTCTACTAGTTGAAGGACGTGATGTTGACTGTCTTGATGCAACAGATTTCCGTGAGACACTTGGTCGAGGAAGTTTCGACATTGCAACCAATAAGATTATTTAATGGGTTATTTACATAGATGTGACCACATTTAGTACCAGTACTAAATGTTACAATTAACCTGATGTATCAATAATAATAAATGCATCAATAATAATAAATAATAATAATAAATCTATACAGTTACATATTTGAAACAATTATGGCCCTTATTGTGGGTAAAATATTTGTCTTTGTTGAAGTGTCCAACCTATCTGAATGACTGCATTAATATAAATGTTGATGAAGATGTTTTAAATAAAAAATATTCCCTTCACTTGTTGAGCTCAGAATGTTACACAAAAACTATAATTGTGCACCATATCAGTTTATAACTATGTGACTCTTCATTCTTTAAAAGTGCCCCACTCGCTAATTAATGAAAGGTTATTGCAATTTAATATGCTATTTGTTTTATTTATACGATCTGTAATTTATAAATCATGTATAATCAAATCTTGATGTAGATTTTTCAATTAATGCTAATGACATAAATTGCGATCTGAATGTGTCTAAACTATCATATTTTATTATATCTCATGGCCTCTGATTGAATTGGTATAATTTTAGAATATCACACAAACTGCAAGAACAAGGTATCTCACCGGTGTGTATCTGTTTGTGTCTAGCAAGATTGCTCAATTGTTTCGAGTTATAATCACACAAACTGCAAGAATAAGGTGTATCTCCAGTGTGTGTCTGTTTGTGTCTACCAAGATTGCTCGATGTATTCGATTTGAAATCACACAAACTGCACGAATAAGGTTTCTCTCCAGTGTATGTCCATTTGTGAGTAGCAAGAGTGCTTGATTTATTTGATTTGTAATCACATTATTATTAAATCTTAGATAGCTAATAATTTAATTAATTATCAACAGGCCCCTTAACGTGGGCAATAACATACGCTTTATAAATTACATAAACAAATACAAGTCTATTTTTCCGATTTTGCTAACTGTTTCTTTAGATCTGTTTTGGTCTTTTGTGGGAGTTCCCACATCTGCTGGTTGAGAACGCTCAACATAACATACATAATGCTTGACTGCTTTATTGACCCGGGCAGGCCCCAGGGGCAGACATCCCAACACCAGTGCTTTGGGACATAGTGTTGGTCTGTTTCAGGATGTGTTAGATCCCAGCGAAGCCGCAAACTGTAATTGTAATCACACAAACGGTAATGACACAAACAACATTCAGTAAAACCCTGATTTACCGCAGACTTTGGGGAAAGCAAAAACCTGTAGTAAATCAGGGTTTTGGTTTTTAGGGCCCAAAATTGGTCTAAAATGGGTGGATAAGTCTTCAAATCTATAGATGCACCATATTTTTGATATAAACTGCAAGAATAAGGTGTAAGAATAAGGTGTATCTCAAGTCTTATTAAGTAAAATACAATTTAAGTAAAATACAATTTTTATTTTCCACAGAAGAATCAATACATATTGAATTATAAATATCCGATAATTCCATTAATAATCATTAAAAGTTGCTTTGTCATTTGTAAAATCAAAAACGAAAAGCCGTACGCTGAACTGTGAACGCGCGCAGCGTTTTTTCTGCAGCTGCCTAGCTTCAAGCTTGTAGCCGCTAACATCAAAGCCGCCGCGCGCGCCCAGTGCTGGGGTGCATTCTCATTAACAATTAAACTTGGTCAAAGATAGTTATATACAATTCCTAAATTAAATCAATAATCATGTTAATATGAGTATTCAACACTACTCGACAACAAATATTTGCCGGCCCATCAACGATTCAGTCGCCGAAACAAAAATCAAATGTTTGCTTTTTCGTTTCGGGGACTGTTTGAACTCAGTACTATATCCGACTAATCATACTTTATAATGGTTAAAATACAAAGTAAAAAGATTTTCCTCGATGGGCCGGCATTCGCAACCGCGAAACGTTTTGAGTACGACAAACGATGACACCACCACCAGCCGTTAATTAATAAGTCCATGGGTGACGGGATAAAGTTAAAGTAAGATGTGTAATTTCATATTGCCTATCACCTATCACCAAAGTTACTTTGCATATACTGCTTCTAGTTACACGATAGCGATCTCAGTTCCCAATAACGTGTGACCCAACAGAAGGGATTGTGGAAGGACACGTACATTTTTCATTAACACGTGCCCTGATTACCCCCTCCGTTGAGCTACTATACGGGGAACGTTGACCGCCAGTCTGTAGTCAGATCGTTAATAGATTTTACTTTAAAATTGGTTGCCGGGTGATGGTGTCAGTGAGAGACGTTAAGTTAGGTGAACATTGGTACAAAAATATAATAATATAGCAGTTTATCTTAAATTTAAAATCACTATTTGTTAAAGTATACAAACAGTTCTATTCAAAAGAACAAAGTCCGAGAGCAGAGATAAGAGAAGATTTGGAGACTATACACGCATATGTGGTGTTTAAATTTGGTGTTAGTAATTTTAGGGTTCGACCGAAAATGTTGGTCGGTTGGTTAATAGGGAGCAGTCACTGTCATTAGAATTATCAGATTAGGAGCAACAATTAGAATCAAATTGGACATATTGTGTATTGTGGCCCAGAAATCAGTGAAACCTAGAATGGCGGTAAAATGCTAGCGTGCCTTGTTATGCGCGCTAACATACTAGCTGCTGAAAATAAAGAAGTATATCCATGATAATGACGTTTGGCGGCAGCGCCTGCCGATACCTGGATTATATTGTGTTTAACTTAGAATTCAGTGAAATTTTTGTCATTCCATTCAGCACCATACCTGTTTTGGGCATTCATCAATGACTTTTGTAATTTATTCTTAACAGAAGAACAAGAGGAATTAAAATTAAATGAGCCAATTTTACAAAACTCATTCCACAGCCACGCTGATTTATAGATGAATTGTTTAGTTGGAGAAGGTGTGATTAACAATTAACATATTGTCTTTCCTATGAGATATGGTGAACAAAGAGAACATTGAAATTGGTACTCTTGTCTTAATTATCTTTAAAAATTCCATTAGGCAACGTAGTCTATATAGGTTCTCTACAGCTAGTAATTTATGTTTTGCAAATAGAGGTTTGGTAGACTCCTTAACATAAAAATCGCAACCCAAACGTTGGGAGCCAAACGGTCTAACTCTAGCACATGTTTTGAATTTGTCTACATACCTTTTATGGTCTCCGAATAGAATTCTTATACATTTCTTCTGGGTAATAAATAGTGGTTTTAACTGGATATTAGGAATACCTCCCCAGACAGAAATAGCAAAACCGAGATGTGATTCAAAGAGAGAATGGTAAATTTGTTTATATAGTGATTCTGGTAAGCATTTCTTAATACGGTAGATACGTCCATAAGCACTGCGTAGTTTTTTGTTAAGAGATTGTATGTGTGGTTTCCAACTTAATTTGTCATTAATAATTACTCCAAGGAATTTAGTTTGACTAACACGCTTGATTACCTTGTTATTCATGGATAGGTAATAGCTATCTATATCGGCGTCTAATTCATTATTGTTACGTTTATTTGGAGAGAAGTACATGTAACAGCACTTTTTTACATTAATGTGTAGTAGGTTTACTATCATGTACTTATTAACAGCCTGCAGTATTTTGTTAGCCATGTCATATACCTTATCCTTTGAGTCGGCTGCAACAAATATATTAGTGTCGTCAGCAAATAGAACAAATTTACCTAGACTTGTTATATTACAAATATCATTTATGTACAGTATGAACAGTAGAGGTCCGAGCACACTCCCTTGGGGGACTCCAAATTCTACAGGTAATTCATCAGATTTTACATCAAGAACGTCCACAAATTGTTTTTATTAGATAAATAACTAGAGATGAGATTTAGAGCATTTCCTCGGATACCATAGTTATTTAATTTTGTTATTAGCTTAGAGTGGTCTAGGGTATCAAAGGCTTTAGAAAGATCTACGAAGACACCTAGTACGTGCTGCTTTTTGCTGATTAACGATTCAATATGTTCTACAGAATAATTAAGTGCATGACTAGTGGAATGAAATATACCACTCCTGCGCGCAGTGTTGTGACCTCCCTTCGTCGTATTTTACACACATTTGGACGTTGGCAATTTATTCCATCGATAATTTTAAAATTTTAACATTTTTATATTAAATTCTTTTTTAATTTAGTTCTAAAACGATTGAGCTTGCTTTCTGTGAAAATTTAATGTACTTTCGTAAAATAATTTTGATGTGGCAGCGATTTGAAAAGGAAATTAGTTAAAAATAATACAAAAAAATCGGACATTTTTTGATATTAAAACATGAATAACTTGGGCTGTGTTGACAGTAGAAAAATTTATTAACCTATATCCGACAGCTTTAAAATTTTTCTACGCGCCGCGCAAATCCACGCGCGCATTTTAGCGTGTCAAAATCGTTTAAAACTAGAATTAGTTGATGAAGGAGCATAATGCAGATCATACGTTGTACGTGTGGCTTGAACATTATGATTTCGCGCCATTTCTTGTTTCTGCACTCGCTTTGAACTTTCATGGCTTTAACAGCAGTTATCGACTGACGACTTTGCTGTATTACATAGTGTACTTGGTACATAATTGATCAACGATAATAGGAGGAACCCCTGCAAGCTTTAAAGGGCTCGTGTTACTTTAACATCACTTTTGAATTTCACGAAAGCAGATAAAAGGTAGGTTTTCGTTGAATCAAAGTAAGCTAATATCAATTAGAACGAGTATAATTGTGTTACTTTAATACATCGCTTGGTACTGTATTTTATAGTTAACTAACGACATTCTCGCTTTAGGTTATTTTATATAAAACACTTTTATCATTGTTGATTGTGACTTGTCCAATCATTGCACTAGCTTATTACAAAGATTATCAAAATCTTGCGGTAAAATTATTATACAAGCACCCATAAATGACAAAAGTCATTTAATTTCAACATTCCTCATTGCTTTTGTGATTTCCTGCAGCTCTTACTACTGGGCAGCTCTTACTACTGGGCAGGTCGCCCCGTGGTGGTTCATGGAGGCGTCTAAAAAAAACTGACTGAACTATAATCTAAATATGATAAGTGCTTATTAACCTCTCTGCTTTAATTCAAACCTTTTATAGAATCTACATATGA